AACTCCCAGAATTCCCCAGCCAGCATGGGTGGCTGGGGAATTCTGGGAGTTGAAGTCCACCCTGCTTAAAGTTGCCAAGGTCGAGAAACACTGGATTAAAGCGACCCGAATGCAGATTCCAACTGAATGGCAAAAGCAACGTCTGAAAGAGCAAGGGCAGTTGGAGGGGGGATCCATGACCCGCAGGGGAAGTCAGCCGCCCTTTGCTGTCGGCGGCGCTTTCACTCGGATTCCTGCCCAGAGAGAGGGCTGGACTAGATGGCCTCGCGGGACCCATCCAATGCTAGAGTCCTGCGATTCAAAGCTCTTGAGGGAATGCTGGGAGATTTCAAAGTTTGAGGAAGGGGAAGAAACTTTTTGTTTATGGTCATGATAGGACGAACCCTGGACATGCCTTGGGTCCCCGTTGCGAGAGACAGACAGGGTGTAGTTCATTTGTGTGGAATTCTAGGATGTGCGTGGGAGGGGGGTCAAAAAAGTCAAGATGGCAACAGAGGTTAAAAAACAGCTTTCATCACATGGTTGTGGCCACCTTCTTGACTTTTTTGCCCCTGCCCTCCAGCAGACTCTTGGCTTTTCCATCCCTCCCTGAAACAGGATTTCTTTTTTTTTTTTGTATAATTTAATTTAATGTTTTTTTTTAATATAGAAACGAATATAGAATAAAGAAAGAGAAAAAAAGAAAAGATAAAGCCGAAAGTGCAGAAAAAAGAAAATATAAAAAAGCAGCTTCCAATTTTCTTTACAGCAGTTGTAAGTATAAATTTACCTCTTACTCTAGGATTACAACATAACTCAATTTTTCTATAAACTGTTTTTCTCTAATCACCAAATCTGGAGCAGGATAACTTCTGGACGCACGTGAGATACCTGCTCTTTTAACCCTCCCTGTATTCCTCCCACGTCGCTTTGGTGATCGGGCGGTTCACCAATCCGATAAACACATCACTACACAGTACCCACCACGGGCGGATGTTGGAGTCCATCGGCTTGGAGAAGATGGGGGGAGACGTCCGGCTTGGTGATACGTTGCTCTCAAATGCTTCGATCTCAAGAAAAAAGTGCGAACTGTTGAATACATTTGATAAAAAGCTGGATTAGCGGGATTTGTGGAACAAGAAGCAAGATATATATATCTGTAGAGCCTCCCTGGACAAGCACAGTTTATCTGTCACTAGGACTTCTTGAGGACATCAACATGGAATCCTGCCGCTGCACTGCCCAGAAATATCCTATCTTCTCAGGGTAGGATTTGGGGCCAGGATTCTCTTTTCAAGGACTTAGCACTGTCTGTCTGTGAATCTGCCTACCTTCCCTCCAAATCTGCTGGACTCTAGTCCCCATTCCCCCAAGCTACTGGTGGAAAACGATGGGAAATGTAGTTTAATGCGCCCCAGGGAAGGTGGGAGGGAAGGCTGTGTAATCGTGATAATAAACTCACTGCCTGTTTAGTCTGCCTGTTGAAAGAGGGCAGAAGTTGGGATGGGGTTGTGCCAAAGGGGTCAAAAAAGTCAAGATGGAGACCACAACTACATGTCACACATTAAAAAGAGGCAGAACAATTGTGTGGTCACGGCCATCATCTTGACCTTTTTGACTCTCCCTTCACAGCCACCCCTGGGTTGGACTAGAACAGTGTTTCTCAATCTTGGCCACTTTATGGTATGTGGACTTCAGCTCCCAGAATTCCCCATGCTGGCTGGGGAATTCTGGGAGTTGAAGTC